GTTTCGTGTGTGTGTGTGTGTGTGTGTGTGTGTGTGTGTGTGTGTGTGTGAACGCAGCCTCCCACCAGCCCTGCCGTTCTGCAGAGTTCATGTGCAGCAGTGGCATGTGTATCAATGCAGGCTGGAGGTGTGACGGAGAATACGACTGTGACGACCAATCAGATGAAAAGAACTGCAGTGAGTAGCTGTTTTGTTGTAGTATTTGTATGTGTGAGTGGATTTCACATCTGTCACATGCCTCTTTCTCACCGTCAGGTACGTCGATGTGCATGGCTGATCAGTTTCGCTGTTCGTCTGGTCGATGTGTGCGGTTGTCATGGCGCTGTGATGGGGAGGATGACTGCTCTGATAACAGTGATGAAGAAGGCTGTGAAAAGACTGGTAAGGAACAACATAAAAGCCAATTTACACTTTTTAACTCTTAAAGGAATGGTTAACCCAAAAATGAAAACTTGTTGAAAATGTCCTTGGATGCTCTCAGGCCATCCAAGATGTAGATGAGTTTGTTTCTTCATCAGGGTTGGAGAAATGCAGCATTGCATCAGTGTCTCAGCAGTGGATGCTCTGCAGTGAATGGGTGCCGTCAGAACGAGAGTCCAAACAGCTGATAAAAACATCACAATGATCCACAAGTAATCCACACCACTCCAGTCCATCAGTTAAGAAACAAATCCATCATTAAGATGTTTAAACCTGCAAGCCGTCATGCACTTAATAATCCATAATCATAATAATAACGCTTCCTCCAGTGAAAAAGTCGTCTGGTCCGAATAAGGAAAGAAACGTTCACAGATCAAGCACCGATTACAAGCAAAAACAGTCCAAAACTGTTCTAAAGAAATATGTGGGTGGATTTTGATATGAAAGACAATAGGAGATGGACGTTTTCACTTTTTAAGCAATGGTTTGAAGTTAAAACGTCTTGATGGATTTGTTTAATTTTGCTTCACAAGACGTTAACTGATGGACTGGAGTGGTGTGGATTACTTGTGGATTATTGTGATGTTTTTATCAGCTGTTTGGACTCTCATTCTGACGGCACCCATTCACTGCAGAGCATCCACTGCTGAGACAGTGATCTGCCCAAAATGCACTTAGTATAGATCACATTAAATGGACTTTTTGAATTATTCAGATTATTTATAAGATCTAGTAATGAATGCGCCTAAATGCTGTGCTTTGGGACAACTAAAGATTGCACATTTTGTTAAAATAGGTTAAAATTGACGTTTTTAAGGATTAAACCTTCACACCTGCTGTGCATAGTTATGGTTTCTGAAAAGTTATTTACATTTTATTTGCCTTTTTATGATATTATTCTGTTTTTTTTTTTTGGCTTTCCCCTTCGTAGAAACTCCTCCATGTGCGTCGGATCAGTTCCTGTGTGGAAATGGCCGCTGTATTGGCCAGCGTAAGGTTTGTAATGACGTCAAGGACTGTGAGGATGGGACTGATGAGCATCCACACCAGGACTGTCGTAAGTCTACAAAATGCACTATTACATGCAGTACCTGTGAAATATTACAAAAGATCAGTAGTGGTAGCTCCTCTGTGATGATCTGATTCCCTCCTCTTTTCTTTGTTAACATTGCCTGTGTGTGTTTATAGGCTCCAAATCAAGTGAAGAAAACTGTAATGTTAACAACGGAGGCTGCTCACAGAAATGCCAGATGTCTCGAGGTCTGGTGCAGTGCACTTGTCACACCGGCTACACATTAACACAGGACGGGAAGACATGCAGAGGTGAGGCCATAGACACGGGGGGTTAAACAAAGGACAGTTAATAAATGAGAAGATCAGCAGAAAAGAAAATTAAGAACCAAAGGGACGTAAACTTTTTGAACAGGATTGCCAGTGTTATTATTCATTTTCTTATGGGAAGATAGGTACATAATCTAAAATAGTGTGTGTTATCTTTATTTTTTATTTTATGATCAAACATTTAATTGCATGTTATTGTCAGTTAAAATCTGAAAATATATTATAGTTCAAATGCTTTTTTGCCCCACTTAAGTAGGACTTAAGTTCATCCTTACAATTACTTCTATTGTCTTAAAAATATGGTTGAAGTAGTGCTGAATATACTGACAAGCATTTATGGTAAACTAAAATTTACTTTCATGTAACTTCATGTATCTAAATATATTTGTAATTACACATTTGTAATGATCAAATTGCAGTTTTAGTACATTTAAAATATATTAACCTTAAATGTAATCTCAAACGAAACACTGCAGTTTAAATTATAATCAAGTACTTTACATGTGCGTTAGTCAACACATCAAAATAAGTGCACAACTAAATATATTTAAAGCATGTACTTTAATGTAAACATTTAATGTGACATTATTACAAAGCACACTTTTTAAAAGTGTACTTAAGTGTGTAAAGAAACATAGTCATGTAATGCCTTTTATTTTGTAAATATATTATCGGCAGTGTTTTTAAAAAAAAAATACTCTAAGTTTTGAAGTACACTACAAGTGCACTCAATACAATTAAGTTCACTTATTTTTCACAAGGGTATAAATAACTGACTTCACTTTTTGAAGAATTTAACTTGTAAAACTTTTGCACGGTACTGTATATTTATGCACAAGCACCAAAAAAATATGAGTGTAAGATGTGTGACAGTTTAATTTTAGGAGCTTAAGTGGTCACTTAAGTGGTTGCTTTTATGAAAACTTATCCATTCGATTTTTTAAGTGTAGAAATCCAGGGATGTCTCTGGCTTTTCTACATTGTTCACCATAGTGTTATTAGCTGTTGTTGCAAGTTCTAAATTGTTAAAGGTTAAACTGTAATAAATGTTTTTGTGATGTATTTAATCTCTCTAAAACTTACCTGCGTTTGTGGTCTGAACGCAGATGTTGATGAGTGTGCAGATGAAGGTTATTGTAGTCAAGGCTGTACCAATATAGAAGGAGGATTTCACTGCTGGTGTGTGCAAGGTTACGAGCTTCGACCCGACAAACGCAGCTGCAAAGCTTTGGGTGAGGCTGAATATCTACTGTGAAAGCAGCAAAACGTTGGTGATTTTGGAACCAGGATGACTAATTTAATACAAACTGTTTTCTGTTCGCAGGTCCAGAACCAGTTTTGTTGTTTGCGAATCGGATTGATATCCGTCAGGTTCTGCCGCACCGCTCAGAATACACATTATTACTGAATAATCTGGAAAATGCCATTGCATTGGACTTTCATCATAGCAACGAGCTGGTGTTCTGGTCAGATGTGACACTGGACCGTATCATGAGAGCCAGTCTGAACGGTAGTAATGTGGAGGAGGTCGTGTCCACGGGACTTGAGAGCCCAGGTACGCAGTCGTTTTCACTGTATGTTCCTCATATTCACTGATTTATGACTCGTGCTTGTTTTCCCCAATTAGCTGAATAAAAAAAGCAAGATGCAACAAAAATGGAAAGACACTTATAGTCAACAAGGCATAGACACTGTGTAAATAAGAGCGTGTAGACAGCTGCATTGATTATAACAGGAGTGCAGACTCGTACTAAACTGCAGCTGCGTGAAACAGTCTAAAGTCGTTAGTGACAATTTCAGTGATGGATAATGGAAGCGTTCCAGGATCATTATGTTGCTCGCTTTAAGTAGAATTTGTTCAAAGTTTGAATAACAGTTTTGTTGTTTATGCTGCTTAGTTAAAGGCATAGTTCACTCAAAAATGAACATTCTGTCAGCATTTGCTCACCCTCAGGTTGTTCAAAACCTATATGAATTTCTTTCTTCTGCTGAATTATTTTGAAGAATGTTTTGGTCAAACAGTTGCTAGTTCCCATTGACTTCCATAGCTGTTGGTAGACATTGACTTCCATAGTATGGAGAAAAAAAAATACTGTCGTCATTTGTTTTAAGCAGAAGAAAGAAATTTATACTGGATTCGAATAACCTGAGCGTGAGCAAATGATGACAGAATTGAGTGAGCTATGCCTTTAATCATTGAGTTTGACAGTTTAGGTTTTTGATTTACAGACGTATAAAACCGTAATAAAGTCATCCAGGAACAGTTCTTGGTTTATTTTTAATGCTTTTGTAGCTTAGATAAAGAAAATGGAATGCAATTTCCCAACACAAAAACTCAACAACAACAAAAATGTCAAATTAAATAATGAAAATCATGTTTTTGTCATCCCATTTGACAGCCCTAATGCACTGTGTAAAAAGAAAATTAATTAAAAAAATTATATATATATATACGTATATGTGTGTGTGTATGTATATGTCTAACACATATATTTTACGGAGTGACTTTTCACTAAATGATAGATAAAGTATGTCAAATGTTAATTTCATGCTTTGGCAAGGAAACAAGGAATAAATAATACATAACATGTAGTAGCAATAATAGTTTGTTTTAAAGCAGCAATAATAGTTTTTTCCCCATATTATTATTCTTAGGTGGTCTGGCCATAGACTGGATTCATAATAAGCTCTACTGGACTGACTCGGGGACGTCTCGTATTGAAGTGGCCAATCTGGACGGCACACAGCGTAAAGTGCTTTTATGGCAGAGGATGGAGAAACCCCGTGCCATCGCTCTGCACCCCATGGAAGGGTAAATATTCTGGCAGTTGTTTTACTTAAATTATACTGTAATTTGCAAATAATGCTGTTTTTCAGATGGGTATTCAGCACAATAATTGCACAATAAATACTCCATACTGATTTTGGACTGGGTAGGAAGTCTTGCATTCTATGAGTTACAGTATTTTCGTAGTACCCCTTGAGAAAAATAGTGTGATTTATTGTATTGAATGTGCATTTGTAGTGCACTTTAAATATTAAAAGTATATGTGGTTACATTTTATTTTAAGATGTCTTTGTTACAGTGTAATTATACATTTAAGCACTGTTATTAATTAACTACATGTATTTACTATATGATTAGGATTTGGCTTAGTGTTACTTGCATGTAATTATGCATAATTTATTGATATTATAATAGTAAGTACATGTAACGTGTAACAAGAACACCTTAAAATAAAGTGTTACTGTATATTTTTATAAACTGTGCTTGAAGATAATTTCATATGAATAAAAGACCACTTAAGTGACTGAAAGACACTTTCTTAACACACACAAGTACACTTTTAAAAAGTGACCTTTGTAATAACGTCACATGAAAAGTTTGACTTATTTTGATTTTAAATGGCATCCTAAAGTACATGTAAAGCACTTGATTATCATTTCAGCTGTAGTGTCATTTAGTATTACATAAAAATATTTTTTAAATGTACTAAAGTGCAACTCGTAATTACTAATGTCTAGTTCTAAACATATATTTAAACACATGACATTTTATCATAAATGCTTGTCAGTACATTCAGCAGTACTTTTAACCATATTTCAAAGAAAAATAGAAGTAATTATGAAATCACATATCTTGATGCACTTAAGTCCTACTTAAGTGGGTCCAGAAATCACTCTTAAATTCCGCTAACTGCATTTAATATAAAACCATAATACATTTTAATTTAATTGCAGTTAGCATGCAGTTATTGTAAGCGGCCAAAAGCATTACATTCAGTATATTTTGTAAAGTATATGATTTCCATAAGTACTTTTTAAAAGTACTCTAAAGTGTACCTCTTTTTCAAAACCGACATCAGACTCTTTCCTCATTTTTGAACCCTTTTATTTTATGTGCATACAAAATTCTGTACAATATTTTAAGAAATGAAAATTGTGACTGGAACCTCTTTGTTCTTTTGCATTGGGAAAATCCCCTCTTGTGACCAGTCGTTGTTGTTGTTGTTGTTGTTCTGTAATAAGCAATGGTAAGCAGAGCATGAAACCATTCTGGTGACTACTGGCAAAACATCATAACTCAATTTGCTTCTAATCACAAAGGCTGGGCAAAAATTTCATCCAGGGATTGTCACAAGGCTTGAGTTGCAGCCGACGCTCATCATGGCTCTTTGTCATAGAGAACAAAGGGGTTTATGAAATCTGGCTTGAATTCCCTCTACAACAAGATTTAGCCCTTGTTTTCGACCGGCTGTGTGTCCGCTGATTCTTACACACAGATGCATGCAGATCTTGCTGTATGTGAGAAATAATAAGCCTGGGAAATAAGCCCTATCCAATTTACTGATGGATCAAATGCATGGCGTTGTTCTTCAAAAGCACTTATTTTATTAACTTAAATGAAGACTGGTAAAATCCTGAGGACAATAATTCCTGTCAAAGATGTGTATCCAATGTTATGTTGTTATCAAATAGAACATTAATTGTTATGGTTGCTTAATATTATAAAACAAGATTTCTAATTGTTTATGCTCTGTCTTTAGGAAGATTTACTGGACCGACTGGGGAAATATGCCTTGCATTGAATATGCCAACATGGACGGCTCTAATCGCAAAATAATTGCGGATACGCACCTCTTCTGGCCAAATGGACTTACCATTGACTACGCCAGTCACCGTATGTACTGGGTGGACGCCAAACACCACGTCATTGAAAGAGCTGACCTGGATGGGAAGAACAGAAAGGCTGTCATCAGCCAAGGTAAAAAAATTAATTCATTAATTGAAATATGTCTCTTATGCTCGCAAAGGCTGCATTTATTTGATCAAAAATACAATAATATTGTAAAATGTTATTAGAATTTAAAATGACTGTTTTCTATATGAATCTATGTTAAAATGTAATTTATTTCTGTGATCAAATCTGAATTTTCAGCAT